TATAAAGTCGGTTCAAACATGTCAAAAAAAACTACATTTTTAGTCAATTCAATTTTATTAAATTTTGGGCAAAAACATTTCGGGAAAATTTTTTTTGGGCAACCCCAAGAGCCGCAAACAACGGGGGAAGATAGAGGCACCACACCGTCATCTCCCGATGTCCGCGATCCAGAAAAGTCAAGATCAGACGACTGAATCAGATTCTGCTTTGGCGGATCTCGAGCTGGTGCGAACGAGACGCCCGGCAGAAGTGATTGAATCTCACTTGAACTAGACACTTGACACCCCGAATTGTGCAACTCGAGTGCAACAAAACGACTGTTGGGTCGGCGGACGTTTCGTAGTCGAGCTCGCAATATTTCGAAGCGTGCGAAAGATGACCAGAAAAGTAAATCTTTTGGCTATTACATGTAAAAAATGACATCGATATAATGTAATGTAATGTAATTACAAGCTAATTAAATCACTAAATATTTTTCTTTTGAGTCTTCGTGCTGTTTATAGATAGCAGTGCGTTGGCCAAATAAATAAATAGATGAAAAACTTTTTTTTATTAAATTTGAATTAAATCAATTTTCTGCTCTCCAGAATGGAGGCTGGTATGCGATAAGTAAGAGACGAATGTAGGGAACTTGTATTTTATTTAATTTCTCTTATTAAACAAGTTGAAATTACAATATTGTGTTATATATGTTGTGTATTTTTATATTATATAATAATAAAAAAACATTGTTTTGTAAGTGATGTTATATTTCATAAATATATCAAAATATTAATATATTTAAAATATGGAAATATAATTTCTATTTTTATTATTATTTGCTTTTATTTTTATATTAAATTATCATACACGAATATTATTTTAATGTAAATTCTATCCTTTGCACTCTTGTTTATTTAAATTTATGTTATTATTTATCATTATTGCTAGATGGTAATTATTTAACAGTTGTAATAAATAATGTAAATAAAAAAAATAAAAAATAAACGTTAATTAGTAAATTTTCAATAATAAACAGTTTTACACCTCATAGTGCGTTTATAGCATAAAAAGTATATTAAATAAATAAAAACGATATTATACAAAAAATACATCATAAATTTCTAATTTTAAAAATATAAAATTCTGCATAAAAATATTAGGTCATATTTTTTTACTTATATTCTCATCACTCTGCAAAAAAATCACAAAAAAAGGAAAAGAGGAAAAAAACTTTGGGAAAAAAATTTTACGAAAAAAAAAATTTGAGGAAAACCCAGACTTTGATTTTTGGGGGGGAAAAAATTAGGAAAAAAATTTTGGGGAAATAATTTTGGGAAAGAAATTTTTTGAAAAAAGAGATTATTTAAAAGTAGGTAATAAGCGGCGGCTGCTTTTAGTAATTATTTCATTTTGATGAGAAAATAATTTTTTTAGATTAATTTTATATAAGAAATATGTAGTAAACTTTGTAATAAAAGCAAAACATAATACTTCTGCTTTCTAAATTTTTCTTATACTATTTCCATTCGAGAATTGATATTATGTCGGGTAGTTCGATTAGCATATTATTACTTTTAAACAATATGTTTGTGTAAAAGTAATAATATAATACTAAATTTTTTTGCTGCTTAAGGGGTTAGGGGTACTTAGAGACACGAAAAATTGAGAATTCCCAGTATTTTTTTTTGTTATTAAACGATGTTTTTTTACAAAAATATTAATACGGCATTATTAAACAATGTTTTGACTTAAAGTAAAAACAAAAAATTAAAAATTTCAGAAAAAAATCCCGAAGTTAGAGCTGTTTTTGATCCTGTTTCAAAAAACGGTCCTAACGGTGACCGTCATAACTCCTTAGAGATTCATCTAAAATCAATCAAATAAAAAAAATAGTTTTATAAATAGACAATCCTGGGCCTGATCGAAGGTTTTCTTTTTATTGCAAAAATCAGAAAAAGAATCTAGATTTTTTGGATAAAAAATCAACTGTTAATTAATTGGTCTTATAAAATTGAAAATTTTGAAAAAATAAAAATCCTTCCATCAGGTCCGAATTTATTATGTATTCTAAAAGCTGTATAAATTTCATTAAAATTTACTAAGCGCTTTTTGAGTTACAGTGGTCACCGGGTCAAAAAACATAGTTTGGAGAATAACGCGTTTAAAGTTTCACATTGGATTTGGATATTGAATTACTTAAACCGAGTTATCTATTTCTGAGCCATATAATAGTTCATCAGTTATTGAACAAGTTTCCAAAATTTCCATTTGTTGTTGCCTATGAAGCATTCTGGCGCGCTGATCTGCCACTTTCACACGTGCAGCATCCAATTTTTCAGCATACCAATGGGAATTATACCCACAATTAGGTCCTAGGGTATGCATAATCAATAATAACGATTATATATATGTTTTTTTTTGTATAGCGAAGGAAATGCTTTTATGCATCCCAGACCGGTCTTCTGTCTGGGTATGTCGGACTCGATACCGCCCTGGTATAATACCGACTAAAAATATGATTAAAATCATATCATTTTAATCATTTAATGATTATATATATGTATTATATAAGCAATTTGTACGATAGTAGAACTAGTATTCACGATTTTATGCATATTTTTTACACTAGTTGGTTGAAGCCAGAAGCTTTTAATTTTTTCTGATTATGGATTTAATCTTGAACTACACCTTGAAAGTAAATTATCATTGCTGAGATCGTCGTAAATCGGTTTAAAAGCTTTTAAAACATCAGGAGGTGAGGGAGAATAATCTTGAGTATAAGTATCGAGCTCTTCACTTGCGTCAGCGCGCTGGTAAGAGTCCAATAGCTCAAAAAGTAATCATCGGATCAACTTGAAATTTTCAGAGAACATTTTCAAGATATTTCACTTAATGAAAATGCAAAAAAATAAAAATCGATTTTTCAAAATTTCCAAGTACCCCTAACCCCTAACTATTGATATAACTGAAAAATTTTGCACTCTAAAGTGTTGTTATTTCAGGCTATGGAAAAACCAGATTAAATGTATTTCGTTTTGTGTATTTTTCGGTATGTATATTCCTGATTGCCGTCATTCACGGCCAAAGATTGTCGTAGTTAGAAATATGACCCCTTACTATTCAATAAATTATACATTTGAGCTATTCACACTCGAACACAATTTCATTGTTCTGTATCTTCGAAGTAACATTTTTGTATATTCTGGTTTATACCTAAAGATCATAAAACTGCCTGTGAGACGATAAAGCAACCGCTTCCTTACCAAAGCAAAAACGCCAAAAACAGTAAATGTCTGCACGAGTTAACAGATTTAATACCAGTTTAAGAAAATCGGATATGACAAATCCTGTGAAACAACTCCACTCAATTCACTCCGAATACATGCATACGTACATATATACACACACAGGAAATATATATAAAAAAATAAAATAAAACTTACATTGAACATGGTATTTTATATCTAAAAATGTGTACACATCACACAATTTTGCACTAACATTGATACAACTAACCAGTCGATAATCATGAATTTTTGTAATAGGAAAAATAATGAGAGTTTTATTTTGCAAAACTGTAGAAAAATTAAAGTATTTTGGCACAGAACGGAGGCTATGTAATAGCTATGGATCCCGAAGCAGGAGTAACCAGATGTGGGGTAAAATTTTGTTTTAAAGGACACTAGAAGGTTTTTTCAATCAACATGGCTATGTGTGGGTGAGTAAGGCTAGGATTTTATGTTCGGAATTGACTGTGTAAAGTTAGACGGCTAATCGTAGGGCCGTAATATTCTAGTATGGTCTATAAGACCATGATATCTATCATGAAAATAGGTTCATAAAAATCGTCAAAAAATATTTTTTCAACTGCTAATTACAAGAAAACAATCCGGCCGATCTTTACCAAAAACTAATCAGCATGATTCTCGACCAATATCTTTCAAACGGTTTTTAAATTTTTAGAAATGTTTGTTGAGAAAACATAAAATTAGCAAATTGGATTTTGTCGCAAAAATATAAACTACTCCTTTGGGAATTTAATTATAAATAGCCATGTTAATAATATAGCTTTAATTTCTAAATAGAATGCTTAAATTTATTCTATACACTTTTGTATAAATAACTATAATCTGATATTCCTTTAATTTCTTTGTTACAGTACATTAGAAATATTTAATAATTGTTGTACAAATTTCATAAATATTGAAATTAATTTTTATTCAACCGATTTTACCTGCAATGTTTCCAGCTGTTAATTAGATTATTCATTATATTACATTATTTTTAAACAATAGCATATTGTTCGTATAGAAGTTCTCGGACTTTATAATAATCTTCTGATAAGCAACCTTCAACAGTTACATGTCCTGTATCAACCTGTTAAATTAAATATAATGTGGAGTTATGAATTAACGGTATACCTCATTATCAGTATAAATTTAATAAAAAAATATTAGCATTTTATGAATATTTAAATATATGATATATGATAAAAATAATACTTTTGACAAGCTTGACTTAGTGAACCTGTGTTCGAGAATCTAAACTCCAAGTCCCTGAAATTACCGAGAAATGTATATGATAATAATGTAAACATTGCAGAAAAGGGCTTTGCAATATAGCAGATAAAATATGGAAATCGGACAAATTATATTAAATGAAATATTTAAAGAATGAAAATGCAAAAATTATAAAGTGTTGAAAAAGATTTAAACATAAATCGTGTATAAAGTTGGTATGAGTTCTTAAATTTACTGTGCTTTTTGCAGTAATTTGCATGAACTATTAACATAATTTTTGCTATACTTTATTTAAGTATGTCCTTTTTGTAAAAAATCAACTTTGAATTATCAAAATCGAATTAGTGATTATTAACCTTAGCACAGTAACACCTAGTGCCCTTTTGTGCTGTTTATTTAGAATTATAATTCATAATGTCTAAGTAACTTTTCGAAATACTGACATATCTGACTTATATAACGAACATAAAATAATCCACATAATCTGAATTGTCTTTGATGTTAATATATGAATATCTTAAAACAAATGAAGATAATATTAATATGAATGTTATTAGTTCAATGCACTGTCAAAGTATGGGTAGGTCCGTGAGATGTACGATATATTTTCAATCAGAAGCATATTTTTTATCTATATATTCAAGTGAAAAATGACCATCGCGACTGCACGATGTAAGATCGTCATCAGAGCGAGGTTCGAACTCACGACCCCGTTCACACGAGTCTGTAATCTTAGCCATTACACCATGGAGCACCATATAATTGAATAACTACCAATATGATTTACATTTTGTATTTGCATGCTTTTTTCTAAGTTCTTACGAAACGAAACAATATTGTCAATCAATAATACAGCAATGAAAAATCGACTTTACTCACCTTACGAATAGCAAGGGTTCCATTGCAACACCACAATACACCACCTGAAAATTCAGATGGAATGTTGCACTTATTCAATACTTGTTTGAAATCGGCTAGCTTCAATTCATTGATGAACACAGATCTATGCCCTTTAATATCAGTAGCTGCTAACGGCTCCAAAGTGAGAATACAATCTGCATCTGAGTTTTCTAGAATAGTAAAATCCATAGTTGATTGAAATCAATATAGAATTAACAATGATACGTAAGCAGAAAGTAAACACTTAGAAAGATATATTAAATATTATTGAAATATATCATCATAAAAAAATTCAAAATAAAAATAATTGCGATTAAATCAAATAAAACGCAAACGAATGTTTTTTGAACCATTCAAATCGGTTGATCCGTACGCCCGAAATCGTCGACGGAAAATTGTATCCATACAAATACACATATCCATTTTTTTAGGGTATGCCAAAATATGTTTAAAAACCTTCGAAACGAGATATGCAAAAATTTTCAATATCGATTTTTGAGCTATTACTATAACTTGCCCTACGGGAAGTTAAAAATGAATATGTGCAATTTCCGTTAGTGTTTAAACACTAACTTGCAGAATACATTAACCCTCCGTCGGTCGGATATTTATTTACCTTCGAACGGTCGGAGTGGTCTGGCTGGACCACCATTCATGTTACATGCATATATATGGGATAAATGAGTTTTTGGTGTCTAGTTTAGATTTTTTCTTTTTCTTACCGTCTTTTGCATGTGTTGAGCTTGTCTTTAATAAAAATATTTCAAAAAACAAATCATGTAATATAAAAACACGTTTTTTTTCGTTAATTTTTCTGTTTTATATCAATGGAGAACAATATTTATTCTTCTTCGGCGCCTTCGAAATGAATGTGATTTTCAAATGAAAACGAAATGAGGGGCCGCCGCCTTTGAAATGAGCTGTAAAACTCAAAGTGAAAATATAATTTCAATTGCATTCTTACGGCTACAGGTTTGCCAAAAAAGGTTTCCCACGCAGTATGGGTAGAAAAATTGTTGATAATGTGCGCATTATTCATCCGATTTTCAATGTTTGCGATAACCAATAAGTTTGATAGGTTTTCAAAGAATTTTCATATGTGTGCGTGTAAATACTAACTTTCAGGTTACAATACAGAGCAAAAAATATATGAAACGCAATTTTATAGAAAATACCGTCATACTCTTCGTACAAAATGTTTGGTTGGTCTAGACAGACCACTCCGACTGTTCGAAGTATAAAAAAGTTAATATCCATATAATTATCCTTCTGTACATTTTTTCGTCCTGATTTTTTCATTGAACGACAGCTAATGAAATTTTAGGAAAGTCAAGAAATTTCAAGTCGATAAGATTACTAAAAGTTTTTTTTTTTAATTGTAGTCAAAAAAAGTCTGGCCAGACAACTCCGACCGACGGAGGGTTAAAATAAAATTAGTTGAAAAAAGAGATAACATAAAACTAGATGTAAGTGACAGTCTTAAGGCAAGTGGCAAAACTAGACTATGTGTTTTTTTTTCCAAGTTTTTGAACAGCAATCAGAATCCTAAAAGTTGTGATAACTTTCATTATTAAACTTTATATTATTATTAAATAGTGATGCAACGATGCCGGATAAGGTCTATTTTCATTTAGAAACATATTGATATCTATATTTCAGGCTTCTCGAAGCGGGTATCGAACCCAAGACCTCTGATTCCGATCCCGTCGCTCTATAATCGTGCAAAGTTTATAAAAATGGTCAAAATATTCTTTTCAACAATTGCTTAATTGCAAAGAAACGGATCAGACAAATTGATATAAGAATTAACATTCAAAATAATTACAACTTTAGTGATCAGACAATTTCCAACTACAATCTTTCAAACAGTTCTTGAACTTTTAAGAGCGATTCAGGATAATTGGAAATTTATGCACTAATTCTATCGTCTGGTAAAACTAATCAATGCGAGTCCTTATCATGGTTTTAAATATTTGAAATTGATTTGTAAAAAAACGTTTGTATAAGATCTTGTTAGCTCAGTATACGAGTGTCTTTGCATGAAGCGCGGTGGTACTTGCTCAGATACTTTAAATTTTGGAATGTTTTTTTGCCATGAATTTGATGCAAGAAAAATGCATAAACTTTCGAACGATGCTAATAAAAATCATTCCAAAAACTGCAATTGCTGAACACAATTTTCTCTGAAGTTTTCGAAACTTACGTTCCATTGGCTCTTCTTGCTCTTCTTCTTCAGAAACTTGAGTTCTGTCAAGATGGCTGTCACGAACTGCAATTTCAGCATCCATCCATGCAACTTCAGCCTCCTTGCCCTTTTGGAACATTAACTGGGATACTAAAGCATCGGTTAATCTGACCTATAATAATAATAGAAATAAAATTACAATTGCATGTGATAATCCTAAAACGAAATCGATTTTTTTGTGAACATCAATTTGATGTAAAAATTTCGTACCCATATTGTTATTAATTATTTTTTTATGTAAGAGTTTAGAGTAAATAACTAACTAGTTGGTTTGGTATTTAGCCTTGAGGCAAGTTACATGAACTTCCCGATATGTTTAAATAATCGACTTAATCAATAAAAAATAAATTAATTTATGAGTGATTAAAAGTATTCCGAGTGGATTTATTACACATAATTGAAAACGAACGAACACTTTGACTCGGAGTATTTTCTAAAAGCAAATTTTCAAAAATCAATTTTTATAATTGAACCAGTTTCCAGGACAGGTTTATTATGTTCAAGACCAAGTACTCTATCATTATACCAAGTAAATAGTCTAATTTTAATTTTAACAAATATCAAAAAAACTACTCATTTTCTCAAATTTTGATGAATTTTAAAAATCAAACTATTTGCCATAAGGCCGTAATATTTCAGTAAGTTCTATAAGACCATGGTATATATCGCTAAAAAAAAAAATACATAAAAATCGGCTTAAATTTTTTTTTCAACAGTTAATTACAAGAAAACAGCTCGGTAGATTTTCACCTAAAATTAATCAGTACCATTCTCAACTAATATCTTTCGAACGGTTTTTGATTTTTTAGAATCGGTTCGGTAGGATGAGCTTAAATGTGGACGAAAAGTTTAACACTTTTTTTCAAATTGCAAAGAAACGGCTTGGCAGATCATCGCACAAAACTGACAAACGATAGTCCTCACCGAAATACATCAAATTTCTAAAATCGGCCCAGCCGTTTTCGAGAAAACGTCGATTTACAGCAAAAAATCTGTTCACATACACACACACACAAATACTTTTTCCAAATTTGGTCTCATTCGATTCAGAATGGCTTGAAACGTCGAGAAAACATAAAATTAGAGAATCGAATTTTTTTATGAAAACATATATATATATATATATATATATATATATATATATATATATATATATATATAATTTAAATTGAGTACTTGTTTATTTTACATAAATGACCTGTCAAAAGGTCTATGAAAAATGAAATTACATTCCAAACAACCAAATACTATAAGAATTAGGAAACAATATAGACATATGAAATTGTAATCAAAACTGGTAATTATACTATAGAAACTAGCTGTAAGTGGAATTCTGTCTTGAGGAAATTATGGCATCGTGCCTTAAGGCAAATTGCTGGAACTTCCCGTACCGTAACGAAATGTTCGAGGAATACTGAATATTGTGACATTGTCTAATATTTATAAGAATTATATAAACTGAATTGCAAAATTAAAATTATTTGTAAAGTATATTAGAACTATCAAAAATAAAATCAGAATTATTTTCGATATACAAAATATTAAAAAAAAAAAAAAGTTGGAACAAAAATTTTTTTTCCTAAATTAATTATTTTGTTAAGACAAGCAGAAAGTTCTTTGAATCATCTAAATCGGATGCTTAATTCTCTCAAAAACTGACATTTTTTACATATTTAGCTCCGTATATTCGAAATGGCTGGGCCTGCTTTTGCCAAAAACTAATAAACACTTCCCCCAATCATTACTAATTGAATGTTTTTTAGATCATTCAAATCGGATACTCCGTCTTCTCAAAAAGTCGATTTCTATTTTCTGCACTCTTTGCTCCGTATCTCCGAAACGGCTGGACCTGCCTTTGCCAAAAACTAATCAGCTCTTTTCCCTATCAATAGGAATCGAATATTTTTTGAACCATTCAAATCGGTTTATCCGTGCGCCCGAAAACGTGACTGGAAATTTGTATCCATTCATACATACATACATACATACATACATACATACACACACACACACACACATCCATTTTTTCGGAGGTATGCCAAAATGTTCAGAAACCTTCAAAACGTTGAGAAATGTAAAAATTTTCAATTCCGACTTTCGGCCCGGTACAATAACTTACCCTACAGGAAGTTAAAAAAAAGAACTCAAACAAATATTAGATTTCTGCCCTTATTTACAAATTAATAACAAACTAAAACACTTAAAGTCAATATAAAATATTTCTTAAAATACCTGATAAATGTGAGTCTCAGTTGTAGCATCAATAATTTCACCTCTTTTTGGACAAAATACTCGAGTACCCATCTGTCCACAATGTAATCTGATAGCATCAGTTCCTTCTACAGAACCGCGCACAACTATAACTCTACGCGGCTTTAATTGTGAAAGAATTTTCAATAAAGACTCCCCATCTGATCGCCCTTCAAAATCTATATACTGTATTTGTGCTTTAATCTAAAAATTAATCCAAACAAGTAAGTGTAAATAGGAGAAAAACAAGTAGATGAAGTGAAGTAAATTGTTTTGTGCTTACTTCTATCTTTTTTAATGCTGAAATACACTTTGTCGGAGTTTCTGTAGTATCAACTGAAATAAAACATGTGATTATATAATTACTAATTACTAATTAATAATATAAAGATTCAGGTTTGATGTTTAAGAACTGAATAATAAAAATGTTGAAGCTAAATTAATACTATTAAGTTAATGTACAAAAACAAAAACTGAATTATGCTAATATACTACTTATTGAAACAATTTATTATTAATCAAGGTTCATTGAAGTAAAACTTCTTTAGGCGCGACTAGGTTGTAAATCCGTACACATGTAACGGAAAAAGCGTTACGCACGAACTGTACGTCATTCGCTCTCGATGAAATCATTTCAATACTGGTCGCATAAACATTGTATACGTACCGATATCAACAAGGAAACCGGCATAGATAAATAAACGTTTTAAAGTTACATCGTGGTACAAAAATCTTGATTAAATGAACTATGCCTGAATTGGAAAAATATTTTACCCTGTTCCTTGAAAATAATAAAACAAATTAAACATTTGTGCCGTGTACTAAACATAAGGTTATTGATTAGAAATTATTACTATATTATTCGTAGTTTCTATGAAACTTTGAAGTTATTAACATGAAAAATATTTTTTAAGCAAGACAGATATTACAGCTGTTCAAAGAATGAGATTATATCGCCAGCAAAAAAGTAAAAAAAAATACAAGCAGTCAATAAATGTACGTTAATTTTAATTACATGAAGTTCTTCAAACACAATTACATGATGAGTGAAGTTGCAAAAACAATATTTGTTTAGACGTTGTTTAACATAATCCACTGTGTGAACGAATATTATAGAATTTATTAATCAGCAATTACTTCATTTCTCTAATATTTGAAGTATGACTTTAATTACATGATTGTTTTAAAATATTATACATATTTTTAATGTTATTATGAATATTTACATAATTTATAATTTAACATTATATAAATGTGTATAATGGTTGACACTAATAAATGTGTGCATCACGAATGTTGCCATATTACTAATAAACATTATTCAAAATTGTTATATGATGAAGTATTTATTTTTACTTAACTTAAATTTGCTACTTCATACAGTAGCAAATAAGTTTTACTTCAATCGCGTGTGAACCTTATGCGAACTCTTTGTTGTAAAAAGTGTCTAGATAATTTAGTTTCATCAAGTGTTTATTTTAGTATTTAATGCAGTGATTTAAAAACATGGATTAAAATGTTTTGGATTATACATATAGAACAGTTTTGCTAATTCAGAGCAGCAAGTATATACCAGAATTTAAGAGAAACCTACCTATTTCTTCAACATTCTTTACAACTGGCTTCAAAATAATATTTTCTTTAACTTCTTCAACATCATCAACCATTTCAGCAAATTTATAATCTTCAGGTTTAATTATTTCTCCATACTCATCCCATTTGATTTTCTCTTCAACAAAAGGAAACATGGCATGCTGTTTTTTGTTAGTCTTGAAAAATCCAGTCTGTGGTTTGTCCTCTTGTTTAACAACAATATCATGTTTACCAGTAATTATACTCATTTCCAGTTCGTCTTCTGAATCTGAGCTCATCACCTCTTTCTCCCTATTTCAGAAATAAATATTTTAGTCGCCCAAGCCAATTTTACTCCTTTTTATTTTTTATTTTCAGTTTCAATAATTTATCATTGCGCAATTACCATATTAAATAATTTACTAAGTAAAATATAATGTTTATATAAATATGGTTTGTTTTTGATTCTATTCAAAATTGCTTATAAACAATTAATTTTCTCATAAGAAAGTACCGTTTCATTGAGGCCATTTGTCCTCTATTTTCCTTTTGTTGTCTTAAATATTCTTCCAATTCAATACCATCTAGCTTCACTCGTTTCTGCATTAATAATTCAATAGTTCTCTCCCCACCATTATCTATTAAGTCGCGACCAAGAGTTCCAGGTGATGATCTAAAAAAAATAAAAAAATATCATAAAACAAAAATAGTTGCATAAACTTCTGTGATTATTTGAATTATCGGCTAAAGTATCACACATATATAAAAACAAAGTGATAGTAATATATTATATATAGTAATATAATAAAGTATATATAGTAAAGTCTAGAAATTAGAAGAAAATAAATAAGATTGGAAAACTTAATGAATCAACCATTCTAATATAAAAAACTGCTTTCAATTAAAAATGAGTTTATGCAAACCTAGCAGTCAGTATGATACTGTTATTAGGATTACTAGCCCACATAGCAAATAGTTCTCGTGAAAATCCACATTCCATATCTATACCACTTGCTAATACAACTTTGGGACTAGAAACACGAGCGAGTTCTGCCATGGAATGACATAGAACAACATGGCGAAAATGAAATGGATTATTTCTAGCTCCTTCAAAACTTTTCATCAATTTTTCACTCATCCACTCTATCTAAAAATGCACAAAAGAGTTTTATATATGAAGGCTTTAAGCATTAACATAGGATATGGATAAATAACACAAACTTATTAAAACAATGCACCTGGGATTTTGCAAACTCTACAACATTATAAGTGACATTATTTAAGAAAGCTAATGAATATGCCAATAGGCCACTTTCTTTATTTTTCCATAGTTGATCCAACATGTGAGCCAGTTCCAAAACACGACCAGCAGTATCAACTGCTACTAAAACATTACCATTATTCCTAAGTGTTTGAAGTATATTAGCTGGAAAAAATTAAATTAGTTATAGTTCATGTATTGATTAACATAAAAAATGTGTAAAAAACATAGTTACAAATGCAAAACATATGAACATTTATGTTACATTCAAAACAGTTACTTCAACTTACTCATAAGCTTTTCATCTCTTGCTCTACGTCTAGCCTGTTGATATGTCGCATTAAAAGCATCAGTAATAAGTAAAGAAGGCCTTTGTAGTTTTTCTAATTCACATCCATTTAAATGCCGTTCCTTTTTATGATTGAAATCTACAGCATATACAATATCTTCTTCGCCTTCCTAAATAAATTACAACAGATTAACAGGCACTAATTATCATATATTCTATTTAATCATTTTTCTATAAATACTTTGACAATTTTCCAAATAGTACCACCTATCATATGGCCTGCTGGTAGTGGCGTAATTGTGATTCCGTAACCTTTTCCTAGGATAATATTTAAGAAATGAGGCTCATTATATAATAACAATTTAAAATACTTTAGAATTATTTATAACCTTTCATGGCTACGCTTTGATTATATTTAAGTTGAACAATTTTGTCAAAAGCAGCATCAACATCGTCCAATGTGAAAATATTGAAATCAGTTGCATTGTAATGAGACTGGTATAAATCATACATAAACATTTGCCCCATCTTATAAACTGGTATAGTTGCATAAATTGGGCAATTCAACCTAGTCGACCGACAATATATGGAAGAGCTCCTAGATGATTGGCATCAGGATATGATAGCAAAACTACATCAATTGTGTGTATATGCCTATAAGTGAATATTCATGTAAAAATAAGCAAAAAAAAATAGTGCATTAAAAAAGCAACATTACCTCTTAAGTTCTTTCATAAAATCAGGATCAAATTTTTCATCCCATCCACAGTCTAATAATATTTTCACCTCATCAACTTGAAGAATGTAGCATGGGGGGCTTTCATCCATAGCCCCCGAAATGGTATGCAGTTTTATAATAGACGTCATTTCAAATAAGAAATTTAATCACTATTTAAATAAATATATACTAACTTTCTATAATAGTCATTTTGAATAAAAGTCATCAACACAAACAACCAGATAAATTGATTAAACCGTGAACAACGAACTTAATCTCAAATATATAAAAAATAAAGTCATTTCCCAAGGATTTAAAACATAGATATTATAAACCACTATCTTATTTACAAAATGAATACATTATACATAAAGTACTGACAAGAAAATATATAGGAGAATCCCAACGAGATAATAACCTAACCCAGCCCTTGTACTCAGTGTAAAACCCGCGTTCACTAATCGTACTTAAAGTAACATAACCTAGGTGAAGATTTGGCGCTAGTGAGCCGATATCAAGTGACAATGTTTGTAATTCTCTAGCATCAAGCCGCCATTTTGATCTGAGTTGTTATTGTGATTTGCCACTATTCTGTTAACGAGTGTTGTGTGTAATTGTTTATTAAGTTTGAATAATTGCTTAAACAAAAAGTATGACTTTTAATTGCAGAGGAAGTGTAGTGAATATAATAGAAAGTGTGGAATATATGTAATACATAGTGTATATAATGTAAAGTCATTCGATATGACTTGATTCATTGTAAGGAATATGCTGAAAAGAGCCAATCTTATTTGGGATGATTATCAGTTACACAAACACTGTAATTCAGTGTTCGCTAAGTTATACTAAATCTTTATAGTACTAGAATAGAATAAACTCGTATAGAAGTTTTGGGTAGTATTAGAAGTCACGGGGTTAATACTACATCCTACCGGGCAATTATTAGATCATACAAAAGCCTTGAGTCAAATTTTCATTCTGTCAAGTTAGAGTGCAATCAAAATTATTATATAAGTATGTGTGATTTGTATTTAAAGCTGTAGATATGTTTATTGTCATTTTTAATTTTATTGATGAGATACATATTATAATACATTATTTGTTTGATATGTTAGTATCATTGTATTTTTACAAAATATAATATTGTAATGCAAAAATTCAATTCAAAAATAAATTATTTTTCAAGTTATACATTTTTTATATAATTATTAATTTTTTTTAAAAACTATAAAAATATTCATTTCAAATTTTGGCGCGCTAATTCGAATGCCGAGCGATACGCGATTAAAGCGCCATTTCGAACTGTTGTACGCTACGAAAACTAACTCTCTCACCCCTTAAAACCCAAAAATATGCCATGTACTGAGACACCCAACAAACGTCAAAAAAAAAACGACTTACCACATTCAGAGACAAAAGACACTGTGTAATACACCCGAACTGTCATTCGCAAATGAAACGTCAAATAACACTATAACCTCCATGAAAGAATTGCTTTCACAGTGAATGTTCTTTGTTAGCGAATATTATTACGAAAACGATAATTTTGTTTGATTAGGACATTAAAGAGTGTTTTAGATTAGTTATTGTAGTTACTCACACTATTTTCTATGTTTTAACTTTATTGTCAGTTTTATTTACATTTCTCATGGAATTAAGGCCAGGAATTTACACGCTTAGATATTAAATGAACATCAAAGTTCTTGATGTACGCTCTGTTCATTAGAACACAACTTATTTATATTTTGTGTATATATTTATAATCATATAATAAAATGAAGTCAAACATATGATATGTATTAAATTTTGATATTTTTCAGTCTTTCGTTTTATCGAAATATATATCAACACTCAACTCACATATTTCAATATATATATATTATTCATATATCGCATTTATAGTATTTGTATATAAATATATAATGATATTTAGAATGTTCTAAAATAATGAGGTTATCTCATACAAATTTTAACAATATTGCCATGAACAATACCAACATAGTTAAAGAACAACATCTTTTCGGATAAACATTTTTATTAAAAATGAAATATATACACATTATATGATTTACAATTGACCTATGTTATAGAAAACATAGATATTACAATGCAGGGATATTACAAATGCACTTGGCATACATGTCGATATAGTATATATGGTTTTAAAGGTTTTATAACAAAATTGACACGATTGCTCTTGTCATGCTGTCTCCTGAGGTGGTCGATATAAAGAGCTACGAGCTGTAAACGTGGTTTTGCATCACTACAAACAAAGTCCATGTGGTTTATTGGATAAATTACAAATAAAATAGATATCGAGAATAAGGAGCAAAGTGACTAAATTGTATAAATTGTGAAATGAGTATGAACTAAAGGCTAGAGAATGAAAATAGAAAGTAATTAAACGTAAGTAAAAAAGTACCTAAATAATATGGAAGCTAAGCTATTAACGACCTAAATGTAAAACTACTGAAATAATATGGAACCTAAGCTAGACCTAAATGTTAAAAGTACCTAAATAATATGGAACCTAAGGTAAAAAGTATTTAAATAATATGGAACCTAAGCTAGACCTAAATGTTAAAAATCCTAAATATATGGCTAAGGTAGTAACGAACCTAAATGTAAAAACGACTTAAATAATATGAAACCTAAGCTAGACCTAAATGTTAAAAGTACCTAAATAATAGGAAGCTAAGCTAGTAACGAACCTAAATGTCAAAAGTACTAAGCTGACCTAAATTAAAAAGTAGCAAAATAATATGGAAGCAGCTAGACCTAAATGTGAAAAGAAGGTAAAAAAGTGGAACCTAAGCTAGACCTTAATATAGAAAGTGAGATAATAACCCTCAAATAAAATAAACCTAATGAAGAAGTAAATTTGTTAATTTCAAAAAGCGCAGTAAAAATATAATGAAAAGAAACAGAACGAATTATAATAAAACATGTTAATGTAACAAAATAATAATAAAAGCCTTACTTAAGAAGAACGTGCACAAGCGAATCGATTGAGAGCACCAAATAGTAACCGCAGAGGAAAGAACAATATAAAATAAATGAAATAAATGAAAGAATCATAAAGAACGAAATGGAAAGGCATAACTGCAAACAAAATGAAATTAAAAACGCACAATCAGAATATACTTGAACAGAAAATGGGACGACCACGATACAACGCTACAAGAAAAAATGAGATCGAGTCTTCAGACGCGTGGTAGAAGAATTGCACTAAATATTCCCCTAAATGATTTGCAGAAAGCCCACTGCTGAAATTTTGACAGGTTATGGGCAACACCGGAGCCAACTTCAGTGTGTATGGGTGTTCTGGCATCGTACATTTTTTTGTTATTTAATGACTCCTATTGTCTTTATATTAGAAGAAGTTTCTAAAAACTGATGTTATATTGCACTTGTGGATTTTGAGGAGCTCTTCAGGACGTACCGTGCAGAATAAACAATTGAAATTTTGGTTTTATATTCTTGATGCATGTACTTTGAAAATAAATTAGAAAAAAGTAAGTCCTTTAACAAATTTCGGAGTAATATTATATATATATATATATCTAGCAAACCCGACGAACTCCGTTTCGCCACCAGATAGTTTCGTGAGAAAGATGAAGAAATTTTTTGTTTGTTTTATATTTTAAAAGGAGAAATTTGATTTTATTATACAACAGTAACGAATTTATTTTGATTACAAAAATGAAGTGTTTTTTACTTGAACTTCTCTAAGTAAATGAAAGTGAACCCGCAAATTATCCATTTATGGAAGTGATCTTTGGAAA